CCCCCCCCCCCAAATCCCACCAGCCCCCCCTACCTTATAAAAAACGAACGGTCCCAATTATGGCAAATCCTTTTTGACCAAGCTTCTACGCTTGTTTACGTCTCGGTCCAATAAATAAAACACACACAAAAAAACTTGGTCAATACCCAGCCAGTTTGTTCAATAACCATGATTTTTTGTCAACTTAAAGTTAATCAAGGTGAACCAGCTATAGGTCGGATTTCCAACGTATCACTGACGCTCAAAACGTCAGCTTTTTCAATTTGCCACGGACGGTGGTTTACCCATCTCTATTAACTTCAAGTTAATAATAATCAGTTAATACAGTTGGACCCCGCTCACTCAAACTCGGTTATTTGGAATTCTCCGTTATTTGGAATTTAAAACCGTTTCTCTTGTATTTGCCCTTCAGTCGTTTACTGTCGGCTAATTCGAACTGTTTTTCGTTTCCATTGAGAGTTCGAAATAGCGGGGTTCAACTGCACTTGTAGGCTTCTTTTGCTTACCGTTAAAAGCGGCTTCTTTATTCCGAAGCATTTCTCTATGTATGGGCTGATTTTGTCCGTGTCCAGTCCCTGCGCGAGTTCTGAGGAGACATGAATGTGACCAACATCGATTTTCTCCTTGTTATATCAATACATTAGCAAGGGAACGGGGCTTGAGAATTAATGTTTTACAGTCACTGACACCATCATCTCTATAGCATCCGAGGTTTTCACGTGACGTCATAGTCGCCATGTAGGTGATCAGTGAAAAAAGTATCCTAATTAGCTTTTTTTTTCTTTGTAACACCAACATGGTCTCCACATGTGCGTTGCCATTTCAGTCTGTCAGGATTGGTTTTAAACCACCTATTCCCGATAATGCAGATAAAGGGTGTATAGCTTAAACCTATAAGGCATTTTTAATCACACGCCATTCGGTTAATGGGGTTCAGAGCGGGCTGTTTGGGGAGTCCGTGGGGCCAGGTCTAGTTGATATCCTCATCCGGGAGGGGCAAGGAACGCGGGCTCACAAATCAGAAGTTTCAGAAGTTTCTAACAACCTTCTTCATGCGTCATTAGGGACGTTACGCATATACAACGTCGACGGCGAGGACGACGCGTATTAGAAAATGTATTTACAGTTGGACCCGCCAATTAGTGTCGGTTTTTTCGAATTCTCCGTTACTTGGAACTCAAAACCATTTCCCTTAGATATGCCCTTCATTCATTTACTATCAGCTATTTCGAACTCCCGCTATTTCGAACTGTTTTCTTTTTCCCCTGAGAGTTGAAATAGCGGCATTCGACTCTATAGTGACTCTATGTACAGTTTTCTTCGGAAATTCACAGTTATCTAGATCTATTCAGTCTGTCTGTTTACATCAAAAAATTCCTTGCTGAATATGCTGCGAATGTCTTCTGTACCATAAAGAAATACGAAAAACAAGCCGAAGAGGTTCATGTTCCCTAAACAAAACTTGCAAATTAGTCATTTCACGTTGTTGATTTGCAAAAGACGGCTGCGAAATGAAAAAATGGGACATGATGTACTTTAAAGATCCATTGTTCTGGTCATTAAGCCTTTTGGTTGGCGACGTTTCGTTGCCATTACCGTGTGTTTTTACGTAAGGTCCCTACTCGTGCAAATGACGTCCGCGGTTTTTTCCTCAGATCGTCGGCACGAGCGGAAATTTTCCTATTAATCACTTTTTTCTCACACGATCAATAGGACGTGAATATGCATTTAAGACAAAACCACAAAACATAAACGAACACAAAAGAGTGCTTCCTAGCTATTAGCGACTTTCAGAAAACCACAACGGCCATGGTCGCGAAACAAAAGGATTAAAAAGCAGTACAGTGGCTACGGAGTAATCCTTGACACATTTCTTTACCGTCCTCTGCAAAACAGCCACCAAATTGCGCTGTCTGGAGAACGTGAACCAAGAAGACTAATTTTTCAAATTTCTATTTGCAATATAACGATGTGTTTCACATTCAGGTTTCAAGATGGGCCCCGTCCACACCACGGCGGACAGGGTCATCACATGGTTATCGTGACGCCATCGATTTCGAAAAGTTCCGTTTTCAAAATGTTTTCCGTCCACATGAAAACGAAAAGCCGGCAGTTTCAAATTCCTCCGTTTTCTCCGTTTTCGTGACGGACTAGTGTGGACGCCAGGCCTAACAGTAGAAATAAACCTCAGGTTTCAAATTCCTCCGGCGTACTGTGGACGGTGCCATAGTCTTGACAAAGAGAAACAAACTAAACGGTTTAAGATTATCGCGAGATTCGCCGGTAAAATATAAATTCATTTTTTGACTGAAGTTGTCCAAAGGGTCCTGGTTACTTGAAAGAAACGAAAGATAACGAATAAAACAATTGTCGTGTAATTGCAGGTACGCTTGTATAAGATGACGGTAAACCTACGTTACTATAATTATATTTTGTTGTATTCGTTATATTGTATTTATTTTCTTCTCATTTATGAGCAGACTGAGAAAGATAGCGGTTTTTTTGAGCTAGCAACCGCCTTTTTCTTTCTTCAGATTGTACGTACGAGCGGACATTTTCTAACTAATCAATTACTCATTTTTTTCACGCACAATAGAATATCTCTACATGCATTTAAACTGAAAGCAAATGGCTTTCATCGACAAAAAGAATGAACGAACAATAACATTCTCAGACTGATTGTGTCTCACAACTGAGAACAAAATATACCGTAATTCATTCATTACCGAAAAAAAATTAAAAGCTTCAGATAAAGTGTTAATTACGTTACAAACAAGGACTGCGTGGCAGGTGTGCAGTATTGACATCATAGCCTCGTACGCAGACATTCTTTTGACTCGTCACGCACTCCACCGAGAAAGAAATGCGTGGGTTAACACATTGACGTCACTAGGTAAGCGCCTACAAATTTGCATACTGATTTGTTTGTTTCCACCTAGAAACGTGAAATAAAAGGTTTGTTACCACGAGTACGCGACGAAACGACAGCAATCTCGACAAATATCACATTTAATTACCTCTATCCGGAATTTAACATTTGCGGGACAGTCTCCGCTGATTTCCTATTCAACACGAGGCGATGTCTTTGATAATTTGACCTTATCCAGTTCGCATCACAGAAACTGCGAACGACGAGCGACAATTCAGTTGAGGTCTCAGTTCATATCGTTCGTATGGCCGATCAGTGAACCTGGGAGCACCATCACTATGGGTTCTGGCGCATCGAAAAAACTCATAATCGTAGAGCCGCAAGCTGACGTGACGCCATTTTCCAGCCATCAAGAATATCCAGTACACATTACTCCTCAACCAAGGATGTCGCAAGAACAGTGGTTGAATCACGACAGGGAACACGAGAGAAACAAGGAGAGTTCATATCCAGGAAACGTTGAATGGGATGTGTCACACACAGACACGCTTACCAGATACAAGATGAACTACCCAAAGCAAGCAGATGATTTTCAAACAATGTTTGAGAACATGCAAGTGTTACGAAACACTATTAACAACAATTCAAAAGGACGAGATCTGTATTCCAAGTTGGTGGGCGAGACGGTTGATAGCTTAGGCACAACAAGCTACAGCACCTATACCTCAGCAGGGTCACACGTGGCCACCGACTACAACAGAATCGTGGACTTTGCGGTGGAAATCGAAGGAGCAGAGCTGTTGCAAAGGTTCGCTCAGAATTGCTTCAACGATTTCTACGAGATGGGCGGTGAATTGGACGATGATAACAGCTCCTCGGAAGATGAATCGTGGGAATTTACTTGTTTTGATTGTCTACAACAAGTGCTAGCAACGATACAAAACTTTGCAGACTTTCACGACGGCTTTTGTTCGGCAAGTGGCCAAGCGGGAGTAGTCCCAATGTGCCTTGAAAACATCGTAAGACTCGATCGCGAAAATGACAATTGGCAAAGTGGAGACGATGAATCGGAGCCGCTTCAGCTTATTGATACCTGCCTTGGAATTTTGCATAACATTTCGCGACGGCTGAGAGATCGCGAGTTGTTTGCTGACAGCGAGAAAACATTGCTTTATTTTGCCAAGGTTAAGAACACAGGAGTTGCTGCTACAGCCCTACTTTGCCTTGCTTACCTGGTAAATGAAGACACCAACCATCTAATTTCAGCAGATGAAAACTTGCTTTGCTTTATTATCACAATGTTAAACGAAGCGTATCAGTCTGAGGACCGCAGATGCGATGGATATTCCGCAAAAGAACTTGCAGAAGGTCTGAGTCACCTTGCCATCAACGATAACAATAAGAAGACTCTGGGCCAAAATGGAGCGATTCGTGTATTAACTGCGATTCTCCAAACTTCAAACGATGACGAGGAAACAGCGAGCGGGGCAAGGGCTCTCTGGATGTTAGCTTTCGACGACACCAATAAAGATGAAATAAGACAACACGAAGGAACGTTGGATACATTACGCGCGTTACACCACAGTGCAAACCCTGAAGTACAAAAGGCAGCCGCAGGGGCATTATGGGAGATTGAAGGAAAGAAGGCAAGGAACAACGCCGACAAGACTGAAGAGACCACTGGAAATCACGTGATGATCAGCTACCAATGGGATGCTCAGGAGCTGTTAGTGGAAGTGAAGAACAAGCTTCAGAAGAGTGGATACCGAGTATGGATGGATTTGGAGCAAATGGGTGGCTCCACACTGGAAGCGATGGCCAAAGCTGTCGAGAACGCTGCTGTTGTACTGGTCTGCGTGTCACAGCGCTACAAAGAAAGTCCTAACTGTCGATCAGAAGCTGAATACGCTTATCAGCTGAGAAAAGATATCATTCCTATGATGATGCAACGCAATTACAAGGCAGATGGCTGGTTGGGAATGCTTGTGGGAACAAAGCTGTGGATTGATTTTCAGAGTAAGCAGATTATTGATTCAGGTGTAGGAAAACTTATCAAAGAGTTAGGAGGGAGAGGAAAAGATCTTGACACGACAGATGGGCCTGGAGAAGCACTGATTCGACTAACTGAAGCAAGTGTTGTCACAGCACCACCCCCACAGTCAGTGACCAATGTGTCCACATGGACAAATCAAGACGTCAAAAAATGGCTGACGGAGATTGGATTGGAACAAGTGTGCAAAGAGGATATTTCCGAGTTCAATGGTCAAACACTGATTGATATTCACGAGCTCCGCGGAGAATGTCCGGAGTATTTCTACAAGTGTCTAGAACACACTCTAAACTTGAAGAACATGTTTCATCTATTCAAGTTCAGGAAAGAGCTCGACAAACTTCTAAGTCATTAACTAAGATTAACTGCTTGGCGGGTCGATACATTGCTAGTATCCTTGCTTGTATCTTTTGCAACCTTTGTTTGAAGTGTAACGCAACGCTGCGTGACCAGTGAAGAGGAGCGTTACAGACGATTCAAATAACGCGGAGTAGTATCTAATTTCCAGAATTAGTTGTTGCGAAGATAACTGAGTGGTTTCGTCTTGTACCACTGCTGAGTCACTTGAACATAATTTAGAATGAAGACTGCATCGTAGCAAACTGAACATAAACTTGTCGAGAGTCGCAAATGGTGAAACGTTGATCAGTTAGCTACGAACATAAACGTGTCCTTAGATTTGTACCAGTAGCAACTTACATTTATCTTATGTATTCGAATAATATGGGTTTGATATAACGCATATCTACGCCGTTTGTGAATTCTGGCAGTATTCCCGGTTATATCGGTTGCTATCAAAAACGCATAAAAACCCTACATAATACCCCTGGGGGGAGGTACACTGCGGGAAAAAAGAGACGGGAGGGTGAGAGCGAAGTCAAAAGCTAACGGCCAAAGAGCACTCACACCCACCTCTCCCCTGAAAAAACAATATCAAATTTCATAAAACAATTTTTAAATCTCAAAATTTAACAGAACTAGTTACTTCTGTGTAGGCATTGTCAAACTCATATTGTGTTATATTTGCTATCTTCTTAATTATGAACAGACAGAGAAAGATGGCAGTTTTTTACTTGTTATTTCGAGTTCCCAGTTTAATAAATAAAATTCAGTAATCGTGATTTGACTTCCAGTCTACAGTAAAGCCGTTTTTATACACAAACCTTGTTCAACTTGTATTCGCTCCCTAAACTCTTCAGGATCTGTTTGTTCCTTGACCATCTCGGCTATTGTTGTATCTATAAAGCAAAGAAGAGCGTCTTCTAAGCAAACTTTTAACGCTCTCGCCTTCAAGTTAAGAAGACGTCGTGGAGTTTTAATATTCTCCACTTAACAATACATTTCATGGTAAATTAAAACTGGCATAAAAAAACGAAAGCTGCCTAGATTCTACAGACGTCCGAGAGGTGCAAAAGAAATAAAGCCATAAAGAAATTACACGCTGTGCATTCCTATGTTGCTAAGTAATGGACCTTTTCGGCGACTCGGCGGCCATTTTGAATTCTATTGTTTTTAAATAACTATTATGGGATACTTAGGGGGCAGATACATACTAATTTGCCCCCTGAGCATCCCATAATAGCTACTTGAAACAATAGAATTCAAAATGGCCGCCGTATCACCGAAAAGGTCTATTATCAGACCTTTCTAACGGGAGGCGAGAGGGTGGTAGAGGGGGGAGAGGGAGAGAGGAGGTGGAGGGGGAGAGGGGGTGAGAGGGAGGTGAGAGGAAGGTCAGAGGGAGGTGAGAGGAAGGTCAGAGGAAGGTGAGAGGGAGGTGAGAGGGAGGTGAGAGGGAGGTGAGAGGGAGGTGAGAGGGAGAGGGGGAGAGGAGAGGAAATACTCAGGTTAAGCTTCTCACATGACCTCACGGCGGACATTTCGGTGCTGACAATATGAAATTTCCGTCCTTTCGAAAACGACTTTTCTTACTATTTTGACCGGACAGAATTCTAGTTGGAACAAAAAGCTCTTCTTTTCTTTGAAAACACCAAGATGGCCAGAACATGAAATGCTCCATGACACAGAAACACAATTTAACTGAAAGCCAGTTTACTCACGTGTGGCAAGAGAAGCTTTCGCTCTTTGCATGAAAGGAATCCTCTGTACATATTGTTTCATTTCTCCTACTGTCTTAGCGCTTTTGTGTTCCTGGAAAAAAAACATGCAAAGCAGTCAGACAGAGCTTGATTCTGAAAGCACTTAGCAATCAAGTAAGGCAAGAAAAGCTCAGTTCTACGCAGACTGAGTGACAAAATTCATTCCTTCACCTGTTTGTCTTCGCTTATAGTCATCCGAGTTTTGATTCTAAATGTTTGCACAGATGAGGTAACTACGCTAATATGAAGATCCGAGTAGTGTCTCGGGTTGGTTGCTAGTTGAAAGCGAAAATTCAAAACCAAGGAACGTTGATCTTCCGTGATCTCCGTAGAACTAAGTTGACATATGGAATTTTGGGGGACCAAATCTCATAGGTTTGTAAAACGATCGACCGCTCACACCGAGTTCCAGAAAACCAAAGTGATCACTTTGGCCAATCACAAAGGACGCGAACAGTCCAGTCAGCCAATCAAAACTCAAAGAAAAATCGTGTTGCAGGTGCGAAGCACGGGAAAACGCCTGCAAGCATGTCACGATATTTTGGGTTAACTTCTGAATGGTCGAGGAAGTTTCTTGAACAAATCACTGAGCGTAGAAATGCACAACCAACGTAAACGCGAATTACTTTAGACACTCAAGTGAAACTGCTCTAAAATGAAAGGGAGAAGCGAACGCTCTCAAGTCTTCGCCACCCATGAACAAAGATTATACGAAAATCTGAATTTGCACATCTTGTGTCTCCTAGATCTACGTTGGCGACTTAGAAGGTGGAGGAAGGGGGATTTCTCACAGCTGAAAAACTACAAAATTTGGTATTTTTACTAGTTACATGCTTTCATCTGACAATGATTACAGGGCAGATCATTTCCTCTCGCAGTGGAAGGAAAGACAACACAACTTCAATGAAATATCCTCCAAGCGACTTTCCGGAACCTCTTAGTCAGTTAGGTTAATACACTCTTGATCAAAATAAAATAAGAAACAAAACCACCCCCTCCCCCCCGAACCAAAGATGAACTCGCGCTACATCCAAAATGCGCCATTATCTCAATCGTTGAAATGGGGGGAGGGGTGGTCTTAGCTTTTCATTTAAATTGACCAAGATTGTAGGTAACAGCATAAATGGTCAAAGAATTGGGTATTCTACATCATTAAAGCAGATACTAGTTTGCTTTGTCTTGTAATCTCTTTTCCCTCGTTAGGAAATAGCAACTGTATGACCAAAATAACAGTTGCTTTAGAGACTAACATCTGAGCAGTGTGGAATAAGCCTTTTAACCTCCACACGTTATTTTGATTAAGTTCTAAGTTCTGTTAACCACCTTGTTACAAATTCAAATACGCAGGTTGTGAGAATTAAACACTTGATATACTTAACTTAAACCTTATTCTCCCACAGGAAAGGATCGAAAATGTACAAAAACGAATATGGAGAATTCTAATTTTGATACTGACCTCAAAAGCAGCACTGATCTGCTTGGCTCTCCTACTCAGATGTATTCCCACAGCCGAGAAGTTCAGATCCCTTATGTCATAAAACAGCTCATCACTAGAATTCAAAACAACTTTCTTTGGTCCAGTTTGTTGCTGCTGCTGTTGCATTCCGCCTGGGCCTTTCTCCTCGGTTTGAGGGAATCTCTCGGGTGGAAACTTAGCAGTGGCTTTAAAAGGGAAAAGAATCAATTACTTGCTGGAGTTCTTTGCCGTTAATATTTAGGAAATTTGAATCCTTCTACGCTGTTACCCCATAACAGGTGCATGTGTTACAGCCCTTATTGACAGCGCTGACCCTTGCAGTGATTCAATGTGGCAAGGTTAGAAACTAACACGGAATGATGGAAAGAGGGCCTTAGTGGAAAACCAGAGGACAGAAAATGGCTGATAGTTGTACCACCCTATCAAACACAATGCAGCAGAGGGTAGAGAAACACTGTGGTTATTGCGCACAAGAAATTCAGGCGTAGATTACAAGGTGCTGTTCAGACATTGCCTGCAATAGAGTGTATACACTAGGCATCTTGGTCATTATTAAATGTGGTATGGTAAACTCTCACAAGTTGGGACTCTACTGTAAGGTGGACACCTCCCTTAAACATATACAGTTATCTTGTCTGTTCTGTCATTCCTCTAAAACTGAACTCTCAAATGCAGACAGCTGAAGCCGCTCCCAAGAGAGTCCACCTTTGACAGAGTTCACTGTATACCCTAGCCCTTGGTGCATCAACATTCATCTAGTACACGTATCTAGCCTTCATGTATGACCTACTGCGGTACTTCTCTTCCCAGTAGACCACAACACCCACAACTTTTTTTGTCGCCTTCAGACTGACACTTTTCACACCACAATTTTGATTCAAACCAATCATGTCAGTTCAAATGTACCACGTGACTGGTTTGAAACAAACTCGTGGTATCAAAAACGTTGCTCTGAAGGTGACCAAAAAAATTGGTGGGTGTCACGGTCTACTGGGAAGAAGATTTTTTTTTTTTCATTAAGTTCATTTTACTTCAAATAACACTTACTGTGGTGTATTCCATAAAGTTCATCTATCAGCCCTTCATAAGTAAGTTGGGTGAATAATGGGGTAAGCAAGTCCACATTACGGTCTATCAACAGTAACGTGTCAATCTCTGGGGAGACTTGGTTTTCTGAATCAGCTGCTTCTCGTTTCTTGCGCATCATCATGTCTAAGACTCTCTGAGGAGAAAAACATCCATTTTACCATCAGTGTGGTTACACACGGTGATGGGGGAAATTAGGGAATCAAAGCAAGACAGAACCCCCCACTTTACCCTCATGTGTTTGTGCTCATTTAATTCCCCATGGTTTTTATTTTGATCATGCTCCTGACAGCAAGAAAAAAAAGCCTGTGATTAACTATATACATAAAGAATCATGGGTTTCATCAAGGGGTTTTCAGCAGAAAGGCAACTGTTTTTCACATGCAGGCAAAAAGTTCTGAACTGGACTTCTTTCTAAGAAAAACTTTCCTCTAAATGGTCAAACCAGGCAGGCAAAATTATTGTCGCAGCTGGTCAGTTTGGCCAGTGCCTGACCCTTATTGAAACCCCTGAAAATATGATTGACTAATTAACTCTTCTGATTTTTAGCCCCTTATAGTAATGCTGATTTTCTATCTCACAGTATCATAATTATTAAGAAAGATTTATCATGCAGTATTCTTACAGGTCATTTTATATCAACCAATATGCCAACTCATTTTCTACAAGCAAACTTCATACTAATAGGAAAATAAGCCCTCCCAAAAATTTAAAAAAAAAAAAAACCAAGAGATACTTTTGAAATTTAAAGAATAATATTCTGTTTGACCAGTTATGATGTTCTAGCTGTAAAATTTCCGGACAAAGTTTAATCCAAAAATGCATCTTGCCACCATTGAAGCAATTCACTTCACACCTTTGACATGGTTCCTTTTGCATAAATCTTGGGAATTGTGCCATACAATGTCTGAAGTGTCATCAAGGAGTTTGCAACATAGAACAAGGATGTGAAGTCATTTTCCAAGTAACATTCCTGCAAAAGGCAAACAAAACCGTAAGTTAGAGTTCTTGAAAGAGAGCTAATTAAAATTTAAAAAATACTTATCACCGCCACAGAGCCTAAAATCCAACTACATAAATTAATGACTACTTCAGGTTTTGTGTTTCAAGAGCCAAACAACATGGTTGCCATAGACATCACTTTTCATGACTTTTAACTGACTTTTCCCTAATAAAAAATACAGAAAATGTCAAATGAAGTAGTGGCCTCCAGCCTCCCATTACAGCCATCCTTACCAACCATTCATTTTGGACTGACAAGTTTCAACAAATTCACCTTCTTCAATAAGAAAAAACATTGCTGACATCGCAATACCCCAAAATGTTTCTTCCAGCCTTCAATGACATTAATTAATCAGCAGTGTTAAAATTTTAATTTTCCGTGATTTTTCTTCAAAATGTCAGATTTCCCTGACTCAAAACAAAATTCCTTGACTTTTCCCTGACCTTGAAGAATTTAATTTTTCCCTCACCATTTCCTGGCCTGTAACAACACTGACTGAAACCTTTGCTCCAGGCAAAATGGGTGGGGATGTTTGTCACCTCTTTTAGAGGTTTACAGTGTGACTCCTCGAACCAGCCACTTAGAAGAAAACCAACCAATCAACATATAAACTGAGAGCAATTTGGTACCTTTCTCATGTCAGCAAGTGATAAGGGTCTGTTTGGATGACACAAATACATACAGTTTTCGACTCCTATGTGTTACAGACACTCTAAGAGATTCAGTCCCTGACGGTGAATTAACGTAAGTATAAATTCCAATGAAAAAATTTAGTTCTACAACTGATTTTGCTACAACTAAACCAAAGCATTGAAATGGGTACAAAATTTAGTATTGAAACTAACCAATCAACAAATGGCAAAGTTTCCCGAGAAGTTTGCAAGACTTTGCACTTTGTTGGGTTTTCAATTTTGTTAAGGACTATTGTTCATATTCTTCAATGTCATTGGTTCATTTGAGAAAAAAGATTGCTATCCTTTGTTCTCAAGTAATATTCTGATTGGTTAAGTAAACACTCTTTCTCCAAGTGGCCCAGTTTGAGTAGTCACACTGTAAATCGTAGATTTTGTATTGCCAACGGTGTTCAATATCACCATTATTTTTACCAATAAGGTATTTATTAGCCCTGGTTGCAAGCAAAAGTAAATTTAACAATGTCAACTAGTAGGCGGTTTTGATCAGACCCAATGGACAAGTTTCTTCACAGATGACAGAATTTGAAGATGATACGTTTATTGCCATTCATTGAGTTAAGTCGCCACACCTCACATTTGACTATCCATTTATGAATGGTATCTTTTAATAAGGGTAAAATAAAACTTTGAGTTTACACCGAGATTAGTCACATTTATCTTTTCCAAAAAAGCAGTCCAACCTCTTTAAGGTGGGAGATCCCTGTGCATGTTTTACCATCTTGATAGAAACAAGTCGAATTCAAAAAGCCACTCGCATTTCTGATAAAAACTAAGGAATAACAGTGGACAATGATACCTTGAAGCTTGAGTCCATTTCTAGTGACAAAACGTCACTATCCAGGGGTATCAGTTCCAGTGGATATTCATCAATATTAAGAAATGATACATTCCGCTCCTTTAAACAACAACAAAAAAAACTTTCATTAGGTATCCAGTGTTTGTACTACAGTAACCGCTTAATTTATAACAAAATTAACAATTGAAACCTCCACTGTCAAAAATCAGTATTAAGAGTGCATCGTAATCCTAGCCTATGAAGCATGCTCATTGTGTCAGAAGAGTTACCTCTGTAGGTAAGGTTATAAAACAATTGATTCATCCTTTGGAGGTTTGGCGAGCACTCAAGAAGCTAACTCAGGGAGGCACAGGGCATAATGATTTGTGCACTGTATTCTGGATGGAGCCCTAGCTGAGGTCATTGTGTTGTGTTCTTGGGTGCAACACTTTACTTGCACAGTGCCCCTCTCCACCCTGCTGTATTATGGGTAGCGATGAATGTAAACAGCAATGCTGGGGGTAACCTTGCGATGGGCTAACATCCAAACCTGGGGGAGTAGAAATACTCCTAGTTGCTTAATGCTATGGAAACTGGGATAAGATCTGACAGTATGGACCACTTCGCTAATGCACCATGCATGCATCTCAATGATGCAGAGTTAAAAGCATGAATCAGTTGTTTTATAACATTGCCAATGGAGTTAACTTTTCTTATGCCATGCATGCGCATCATTGAATTTACAACAACCACTTATTTCAACATTTTGATGAGCTGTAAACATCTGGTCATGTAAATGCTGTTAGCGCAGAAAAATTATTTTTTTCCAGCAACAACTCACACAGCTTTCTGTTGTCCCAAAAAATATTTGAAAGATTACACAAATCTATATATTATAACTGTAAACACATCAGATACATGACTGTACATGTATACATATACAGAGAGTAAATCTACAGTCCCAGGTACATATTCAACTGTAAATTATTTCTTCTATATTTTGTTACTTACCGCAAGCTTTCTTTCACATAACATAGTTTTTCTTGGAACAAACAGGATAGTAAAATCTTTTTTCTTGCTTTCTCTACCTTCTTCACTGAGAATTCAAAATGAAATAACAGAAAATGTTCTTCAGTTAACTTCTTCACCATACAATGGGTGAGTTGTCATTTCATCATTATTATTATTATTATTATTAACCAAGTGCGATGGTCGTATATACCAGGAGAATATTGGCCTGAGGTCTTGACAATACAGACCTCACTGCGCTCGGTCCATACAAAAATGACTGAGGGCTGATATTTTCCCAGTACGGTTCCAAGCAAGCTTGGTTAATAAGAGATTAATTTTACATGACTGATTAAACTACCCAAAAATATTCAAGAGTGATTGTGCGGGATCATTCAGGACAGTGCCCAGTCTAATGCTTAGAGAATATTGGACCAGCAAAGGAGCAATCTGATAGGTTGATTTTAGATATAATTTTGGCCCTCTTAACTAACTCAGTCAGGTGAATGATGTTATTGAGAACTGAGGAACCCTATGGGATTTTGATCTTCAAAGACCTTCAAAGGTCTGTCATAGATCGTGAAGAATAAGGATCTGGATCCTTTAAAGTATATGACAGGATCATTCGGGACAGTGCCCAGTCCTATGCTTAGAGTATATTGGACCAGCAAAGGAGCAATCTGATTGGTTGATTTTAGTTATAATTTTGGCTCTCTTAACTTACTTAGTCAGGAGAATGATGTTATTGAGAACTGAGGAATCCTACAGGATTTTGATCTTCAAAGACCTTCAAAGGCCTACCATAGATCGTGAAGAATAAGGATCTGGATCCTTTAAAGTTCATGAAAGATATTTTTGATTTGCTTGATGAAATCTACATGTACATCAGATCATGATATCAAAATAAAAAAATGGATATCGTTTTTCCTCACTGCACTTTATGTGCAGTGAGAAAAACATGAAATTTCACTTCTGGTTTGGTCAGAAAACAAAGGAGAACTGTTTAGACCTGGGACTAGTCAGGCTGTAACATCAAAACACAACATTAACAATTAGACCCGTAGCCCTTGTGGGCTACGGGTCAATAGCCCATGAGGCAAAGCCGAATGGGCTATTGACCCATGGCCCTTGAGGGCAAAGGGTCTAATTGTTTTAGTATCACCCAACTAGTTGCACAGAAAAGGTAATAATAAAGTTAGCAAATGCAAGTTGAAGAAATGTTTGTTTGGAAATAAAACGAAAGAAAACATCACGCTCGATGGCGCCAATTTCGCTGCTCGAGGACTATTACTAATAGTCCCCTAGTAGTGTAGCCAATCAAAATGCAGGATTTGCATTAGTCCACTAGTTGGGTGATACTAAATCTCTTTAGTAAATTTGTACAATTTTGAGCCAAAACTTGAACTACAGGAGAGTGTTTAAATCCTGGTGTAATTCAGTTACTTATTTCATTTCTATCTGTTAGGTTTGAAAGGATGTGAACTACTACATTCTTGTTTTGACATTATGGCCTGACTAGTCCCAGGCCTTCACCTTGTGCAGTGTGTGACTGAAGAAACAACAAAATCCAATAATTTTTCCATTTCCATACAACAAACTTGTATAGATTCCATCAAGCAAAAAAATAGCTTTTTGTTAATCTCTACAACTTCCAACTAGATTTTAGTCACTGTACTTCTTGAATGATGTAAAACATACCACACAATGGGACACGTTTAGTTGACATGCCTACATGTATTTTGATTTGATCTGGCAATAACAAGCCCACCTAGTGTGTGCCACTTAATACCTGATAAATTATTTCAAGTATGTTACGTTGATAGCCAATCAGAGTTGACTTAAACAACAGCTATTGTCAATAAACCAATAAAAATGTAGTTCCCAAATTCTGGAGAAACAGCAGGACACTGGAATGTAATTAGCAACAACAATTCGCAGACGTCCCTTTTCCACACAAAGTAAGGGAAATCAGGGCTCGAAATTAACTTTTTCGTTTGGGAGCCAGCTGGCGACTAACGGAAAAGTTTTGGTCACCAGATCGTAACTTACACAAGAACACGATTTTATACGTTACTTTGCATGCAAGAAAAGTCACAATTGAAGAGCGAAAACAACTAGAAACAACACAAGTAACACTTAGTTATAAAGCTACCGTTGTTCTCAGGTGATATGTCTCTGGTCCGAAGGTGGTGGTTGTTTCCATAGTCCTTTTAAATGAAGTGAAGCATAAAACGTTTTAAGTCCATAGTTTTCATTGTGAGACAAACACAGGTCCTTGCGTATTTTCCCTTTGCTACTTCTTCGAAATGCCGTTCTTTATTTTTGACTTGCTTTTGGATTTGGCCGAATCTTCGTTCCCTGCACATAAACACTCACGTAATTCCTTCAAGTGATTGGTATCTGCCGCCATTTTTGCGGCAAATGAAAAGCACATGGTGTTGAAGTGCGCCTGCAATCCCAGTTTCGGAAGAAGCCGTTGAAACAATATGGTGCACCGTGAACGCAGTATCGATGTGTCAATATACATTCAATTTTTTTCGATTATCTTGTAATATTCAGACATTATTTTACTGGGGACGGAAAGGTGAGTTGTATACTAGCCACCACATCCGATTGATTTCCTAATTTAACGCCCAAGTCGCTAGTGGAGGGAAGGTGCCCACGAAGCCTGGGGGCTGCAACCGCAGTCACATCCCCAAGGCGCTAGAACACCCGACTGGCCTGCCCAACCCGCAACCAAGCCACGAGCCCCCTGCGCCAAGCCCCCTACAGGCACCTGTCACACTCAAGCCAGA